TTTAATTTTGTAAGTTTGTTTTTTTTTTTTACTGTAAATTCGCAGGTTATTGTAAAAATGCCACTTTAAACTCAAAAATTGTATTAATTTATGTGAACCCTGTGGTGAAAATGAATGCATTAACCTGTCTGGGGCCCTGCCTGGGGCCCCCGCATGCCCCTACCTCTCAGGATGGGGTAGATGAGGCCGCAGAAGGAGCCCGCTGCCGCCACCGCTGCAGCTGAACCCAGAGCCGACAGAGAGACCGAAAACCACGGCGTGACTCCGCCGCCTCGCGGCCTCCCACTAAGCGCGCGCGCGGACATGATCCCGGAGCGCCTGGATGTGCGGTGGTCAGACCGAAGCGCGCGGCATGACAGAGCACTTCCGGTTCTGATTCGGTTCTCTGACCGCTGGGCTTCAAATCCAGGAAGCAGTCTGGGTTCTTCCGCTTAAAAGAATGTCCTCCCCGAGCTTCCGTACACAGTCACTGGTGACAGTTTGGTTTCCTCATTGGACGCTTAGCGTGCCTTGAGGGCGGCCATCTTGGGTCAGACCACAGTTCAGACAGCTGCTGTCAGAATGAACAGAAGGCTCCTTAGATCTGATTTTAATCAATGAAAGAGTCAAAGATAATATTACAACAATCTCTAACAACCTTAAAGGAACAAAAATTATTCTAAAATAACCTTTCAGTTAGATTACATAGATTTATTCCGATTAAAACTTTAAACTGAACTCAAACTAGATGAGATATATGCAAAGTTATATAGTTCATAGTAAATATTAATATGAAAAACACAATATTACAATATTTTTGTTTACATAAGTTTGTCTAAACCTTTTCCAAAAATTCTTTTCAATCTGTTTTTTTTTTATCATTATTTATACATGTGTGATATATAATATATATATATATAGACTCCTTCTTTGTGTGTTTCATATGGATATTTACTTGCAAACTATATAACTTTGCACATATCTCATCCAGTTTGAGTTCAGTTTCAATAGTTTTTAATCTGAATAAA